ATTGACATGTTATTTGTAAATTGATGTTTAGTAACTAGTAACAAACTTGAAATACTAGAATACCCTATAAGCCTTAATCCTGGGTAGACTTAAGCAAATGAATTTCTTTTAATTCATCTTTTGAACCTATATCCACATTGGTTTTAAAGATATTTTAAGTTATATTTTTTCCTCTTTGTTTTTCAGAGCTACTTCTTATTTGGGGGCTACTTTTAAAAATTCAGGTATAATTCACAAGGGGCTGCTTTTTTTTTTTTTTTTTTTAAGACTTCTTATAACTATTGCTGAATGTTTTGTTCTAATCTTCTAAGCAGGGCCATTTTATTTTTTGGAGTCACTTCTAAAGTCATGTGGTCATTAACTTTGTAGACTATTTTGGATATGAGTGTTGATACAAATTAAAACCCAAGTAGACCTCATTGTATGTCACTCCATGAATGTTGACAACATAAGGAATACCTTGCTCATAGTACACTGACTTCTGGACTGAAAAGCTGAGGAAGAAGCTCAATTTTCTTTTTTGCATACATCAAAAAAACAACCACTATGTCCAGTTCCCTGACTGACCTCAGCAGATGAAGTGAACAAATAGTGTTAGTTCAGATTGAAGAAATTATCTGAATCTTGGTGTGTGTAGATTTATAATCTACATGTAATATTACCTAAATTAGATATTTACAGTTTCATATGTGTGCATAGGCTCCTGTACACCTATTTCCATATTTATTAGTTACTGAACTTTCTAAACTGGAATTGAAGCATTACAACAATTTTTTTTGCACCAATTTTATAAACTTAAGCAGTGCAATGCACGTTATTTTTCTGAGGCAAACCAAAGGTAATTTTCTCAAGGTTTTTGCAGCATTTGATGGAGGATCTTTTATACATATGTAATAGACAAAAAATAAACCAGACTGAAAATCATTTTTAAAATCTAAAACCATGTACCAAGTTTTTAAATTCAAATTGTACAGGATAAGTTTATAAACTTAAATTGCATTCTATTAACCACTATGAATGTACTTCTGTAAGCATACTTATGTTGAAATAAAGTTTTAAAAAGCAATAAATAAATAAATGTGTTTGAAAGGCTGGAGTTTATCTTGTGAATGGGGAAGTAGCCTGAAGTTGGGCGGGAGAACCCTAAAAGAAAGAAAGTCTAACTCTGCCACTGAGCTAAGAAAAAAATCTGCTGACCCTGAACTTCTAGGAGTGCTTTTGGACCTGTCCTCAGCCAGGCTCACCTGTATTCACTGTGTTAACCCAGAATTACTGCTAATTCATTCATATCTGGCAGGTGACATGAGGTGAAGACAACCACAGCCTCTTATTTCACACTTTCCCTGACACAATGGAAAGAATGACCTATACCTTCACCAAGCAGATGAGCTTCTGCTTGGAGATGAGCATCCTCTCCTCCATCTGTGAAATTGGTCTGAGGATGTTACCATAAAGGCTGGGGCACTTTTTCCTTCCTTTCAACAAAAGATGAATAGATCAGCATTGTATCCTTTTAGTCTCTTGGCAGAAGAAAAAATAGAAGGTGTCGAAAGGAGATTCAAACTGCACTCTTTAGGGAAATCCCTCATCTTGCCCCAGGGATATAGTTTAGCACATGTAATTAAGCCAGCAGTTAGGGCCATTTTAACATTTAGATTTTCTTTAATCAATTCCTTTAACAAGAGATGAGCTCATACGTGAACTGCAACATTGTATGTTTGATATACATCGTGGACATCACCTATTTATTAAAGACATATAAAAGCAGGGTATTGTTCCAGAGAAAATTCTATTGAAATATAAAATTGATTCTGCTAACTTTATTTTATATAGTTACCTATAAGAGAAAAGGAAATAGATTTTTTTTTTTTACTGTTTTTCTTATGTTACACCACTACTTGTTCATTTCATTCAGGTGCTAATCTCCTTCTGATTTGTAGCCTCTATTTTCCTTTCTTCCATCTGTCAACCTCAGATAATTTTGTATTCCCATTACCACAATCACACTTTAATTTCTGGTTCTGTCTACCTCCTCCCCCAAGTCTCACTTCCTGCCTCTCTTCTCTGAATGTGACTAGATTTAAATGGATGACTTCACTGGACAGATAGCCCTGAGCTCTTGAGCTTTTGTGACCATGAATATGATGACCATTTTTTTTCTCTTGCTCATTTTAATAACAAGTTATGATATAACTCTGGGAAGGTAAAAAAATTTATAAACATGTAGATTGTCTTTCATGCCTTAGATTATGAAAACAATTCATGCTAATGGGTATACTCTTTGAGATCTATGATTGTAGTGCAATTTTTAATTAATTAATTTGTGTCGTGTACATGCTCAGTGATGAGGCAGAAAGCTGTACATCTCCCCCTTGTGGTTCCTGTTAGCGTCTGCCTTTTGCACGTCCATTTTTTTCCAGTTCCATTAAGTCCCAATAAAATGCAGCTAAAATAATCTTCTTGTTTATTTATTAATTTTTTTAGGGACAAGATCTCGCTCTGTTGCCCAGGTGGGGGTGCAGTGGCATGATCATAGCTCATTACAGCCTCAGACTCCTAGGCTCAAGAGATCTTCCGGCCTCAGCCTCCTGAGTAGCTAGGACTGCAGGTGCACACCACCACACCAGGTTAATTTTTAAATTTTTTGTAAAGACAGTCTCACTATGTTGCCCAAGCCGGTCCTGAACTCCTGGCTTCAAGCTATCCTCCTGCCTTGGCCTCCCAAAGGGCTGGGATGACAGGTGTGAGCCACTACACTCAGCCTAAAACAATTTTAAACCACATCTCTGGCAACACTCTCCTGCTCAAACCTTCTGTGGCTCTACCACATGTGGAATACAATCCAAACTCCTTGGCATGGTCCACCTGAAATTTCTATACCAAACAAAAGAAAACTCTGCTTTTTGAAATCCTATACATGCTTTAAGGCCCAAATTCCTCTTTCCTAATACTCCACATGGGTGAAGTCTCACCATTTTGTGTTCTTATACCCCAATCTGCCAGTAATTATTGGTACTCATGCTCATTTTATCTCTCAGACTAAACTGTGAGTATCTGGGGAATAGGAAAGGATTAAAAGTCAGTATTAGACTTTAAAAACAGAGAAGCATTTAAAAATGGATGAAGAGAGAGAATTGAGCCAGGGGCCGTGGCTCATGCCTGTAATCCCACCACTTTGAGATGCCGAGGCAGGTGCATCACTTGAGACCAGGAAATTGAGACCAGCCTGGCCAACCTGGTGAAACCCCATCTCTACTAAAAATACAAAAAATTAGCTGGCCATGGTTGTGTGCTCCTGTAGTCCCAGCTACTTGGGAGGCTGAGGCATAAGAATCATTTGAACCCAGGAACCGGAGGTTGCAGTGAGCCGAGATTGCGCCACTGCACTCCAGCCTGGGTGATAGAGTGAGACTCTGCCTTAAAAAAGAAAAATAAAATGAATAGACTAGCCCGGTCCAATAGGAATATGAAAGGTACATGTGTAATTTTTAATTTTCTAGTAGCCACATTAAAAAACAACCAGGTGACATTAATTTAATAATACATTTATTTAACCCAGTATGTCAAAAATTATTTCAACATAACCATATACATTTATTAAGATTTTTACATATTTTAATACGAAATCTTCCAAATCTAGTGTGCAGAATGTACATACAGCACAATCTCAGTTCAAACTTGCCGTAAAGTGCTTTATAGCCATAAGTGGCTAGTGCTACTGTATTAGACAGAAATTGAGCCAAGGACAGCAAGAGTCCTAGCCCTGGCTGACTACAAAGTAGCTTTCTTACCATAGACAAGACCTTTAACCACTCACTTCTGTGGTTTCCTCATATGAAAAGAGGAGATATATTTTTCTTACCAATCACATAGGGTCGTAATAGCATAAAATTACAAACTGAAATGAGGACACTTTTGAAAGGTTGAAAGTGTCATACAAATGGGAGGCATTATAATTATTCCAGTAATAAACTCTGATGGCTCTAGATCATGCAGTGTTTCTTAGCACACCTATGATTTTTAATAACAGTTGCAGATACTTACTAAAAGTTGAAATACGAAAGGTTACAATTTCAATGCTTCCGTGGAAAAATAATTCCCATAGTAGCAAACCCAATTAAACTGCTGTGCTTTGAAATGGTTATTAATCTCTTCTTTAAGGAATCTGGATCCCAGAGTCTCACCTGCTTCCTAATCTTTCTTCACTGACTTGACAGCAATAAAGAAGGGCTGAGGGAGGATGCTGATATTCCCATTGGAGTAGGGGGGTGTGATGAAGACACATTGTTCTGATGCAGAGACGAACCTCGGAGATTCGTATTCAAGTTAATTAGATCGTTGCGAATAATAAGATGCTTTCAATACATAGAGAAAGAAAGAGGCGGGGCGCCAATCAAAAGGATATTGAGATCCACAGGATTGGGAAATGATACAGGGAAAACTCACCTGGTCATTTTTCTATTTACATAGTGCTTGCTTGCCACTGAGGTGCATCTGTGACACCTGAGAGAGATAGAAATACGTTCCTCATTGCTATGTCCCCCAGAGGACTCTGGAACGGCTAATTATTACTAATATTTTAAGTGTTCGTTTTAGGAGATTTTCTGCAGCGCTCTAAGTGTCTCTTCCCAAACAGTTAAGTTACTGTTTATTCACCTGCTGAGATCTGGTCTCTTACTCACTTTCATTGCATTAAGAAATGGTACAGAAAGGTATTTATTAACATTTCAGATTTGTCTATAGGGTAGCGAGAAATAATTCCCTCTCTTGTGTGTTATGATTTGCCTTTCTTGTCAGCTTAAGCTCAGGAAGGCATCTGTGAGAACTTCACTCAGCCCAAGATCCGCTTTCCCTTCCCCCCGCATCTGTCAGTGCATAAGGTTTCTTCCCCTTTCTTCAGAGGTTTCTGGAGCCCCACCCTTTGCCGACACATGGTGCCAAGGAGACTGTGCCCTGCCCTGACAACAGTTGCTAAGGGGCGGAGACTTCGGATCGGTTCCAGTGACAGAAGACCCAGGAGTCGAGTACTTGGGCGCATGCGGTAACCGTATCTCAGCTCTCGCGAGTTTTCGTCTTCCCGGAAGCGTTGGAGGACGTTGCCTGTTGACTGCTTCGCGATGTGTGGAGACTGTGTGGAGAAGGAATATCCCAACCGGGTGAGCGACTGGGCTCTCCTTTGGCCGGCGGCCGGCCTCGAGGTGTCTCATGCCCCAGGCTGGCCTTCCCAGAGAGGCCGTACGTGGGGCTGACTCGCCCGCACTGCCGGTCCCGGTGTCCCGGTAGCGGTATTTAGGTACACTGGGGATGGCCTGTGGCGGTCGGCATCTCTGGTCCCCGCCCTGGCGGCTGACTTCAGCTGTCGTGCCGGTTTCGTGGAGCTCCGTGGAGCAACAGAGGAACCCCACCGCCACCACAACCCGGGTCAACAACCGAGGGACTCCCCAACCCCCACTTCCGGTCTCATCCTCAGGCTCGATTTGATGAAGTTCAGTTTTCTTACCGAATTCTAGCACTGGAGGGGACTTCAGAGGTCATCTGTTCTAACACTTTTGCAGATGAAACCGATGTCCAGAGAGGGGAAATCACTTGCCCAAGTTCACGTTGTAGTTGCATGGATGAGAGCCAGGACTAGAATTCAGATTTCCTGGCTGTTACTGCCTTTTAAATCTCTGTTACTTTCAGGCTCAGGAGGTTGCAAAGCTTGTCTATTCTCATTCACTCAGGGTATCTTTGTTGAACATTTATATATGTGTAGCTAGATTACTTTAGGCCACAAAGGGATTCTTTATTTCTCCTCTCTTTTTTGGAGACAGGTTCCCACTGTTGCCCAGGCTGGTCTCAAATTCCTGGGATCAAGCGATCCTCCTGCCTTGGCCTCCCAAAGTGCTGGAATTACAGGCGTGAGCCACCTCGCCCGGCTGGATCCTTTATTTCAAATTAGAAATAAAAAGGTAGCTTTGGTGCTGCCTAAGAGCTCACAGTTTTGGGGAGTATGTGACTAACGAAAAATGAGTAGTTCGGTTCAGAAATGCTATTCAAGTTTAGGGAAAGGGGAGGGCAATAGGAGATAGTGTTGTTCTCCCCTGCGAAAAGGTGTCCACCTTTAAGACTTGAAGGACAGTTGTAATTAGGGTAGAAAACAAGATAAGGAGGAGCTGGAGGATGGGGGAAAATTACAGGAATGGAATTGGTAAATTGGATGGGAGGGAGAAAATCTCTATAGTTGCTTATGCCTTAGTATCTTATGGGTAATACTTAGGCTTTTGAGGAGCATATATAACAGTATATTTTCTCGTATGATACAACCACTTTGGAAAAACGGGTGAGCCTTATACCGAAATGACCCAGCGATTCCCGTTCTAGAAAAATGAATGTGTATATGCTTCTGAAGACTTTCATAAGAGTGTTCATAACAGCATTATTTTTGTGGTGGTAGATTGGAAAAATAACTGTGATATATTCATAGAATGGAACACATGGATGAATGAGTAATGGAAGTGAATTAAGTAGTGCAGTAGTCCTCTACCAGGAGTGATTTTTGCCTCCTAGGAGACATTTGGCAATATCCGGAGACATTTTTTGGTTGTCAGATGGGAAAGCACTACTGACTTCTAATGGATGGTGCAGGGGATGCCACTAAACGTCCTGCAATACATGGGACAGCCACCACAACAAAGTATCACTCCCAATGTTAATAGTGCAAAGGTTGAGAAACCCTGAATTATAACAATGAAACTACAATTACACAGCAACCTGAAAAGTCTTACAAATAGTGTTGATGAAAGAACACATAAAGTATAATTCAAAAAGAGGCAAACTAAAATATTTAAGGATGTACCTGGGTGGTAAAACTATGTAGAAAGCACACAATTACTGTTAAGTCGAGATAGTGGTTACTGCTAAGGAATTAGGGTGTGATCAAGAAGGGTCACATGAGAAAAAGTCTTCTGGGGTGCAAGCAGTGTTTATTTCTTGATTTGGGTGATGGTTCTGTAGATGTTCACTTTATAATTATTAAGCTCTACATTTGTTTCATGTACTTTACTGTGTTCCATTTCATTTTTTTAAGTTTAAAAAGATTTTTACAAAGCCAGTAATAAACATGGGGTATTACAAGACCATGAGGGAGAAGTTTGCAGTAGAGAATATTAAAGAGATTAGGTTGGATTCTTAAGAGTGGAGTTATTGTAAAACTTAAAAGTCATATTGAGAAGCTTAGAGTTTACATTTTATGCATTGGACAACCATCAAAATTTTAATAGAGAAATGATTCTGAAATCTGTTATTTAGGAAAATGAATCTTATGGCTGATGGTAGGATGGAGGGTGTGTTAAGAGATAACTCCACAGAACATTTGAGGAGCTATGGCAACAGTGTAGGCATGAGATAATCAAGATCTTATTTCAAAGAAAGAATTAGGCTGAGCACAGTGCTCATACCTGGAATCCCAGCACTTTGGGAGGCTAAGGCAGGTAGATCGCTTGAGCCCAGGAGTTTGAGACCAGTCTAGGAAGCATGGTAAAACGCTGTCTCTACAAAAAATACAAATAGGCTGGGCACGGTGGCTCACTCCTGTAATCCCAGCACTTTGGGAGGCCGAGGTGGGTGGATCACCTCAGGTCAGGAGTTTGAGACCAACTTGGCCAACATGGTGAAACCCCATCTCTACTAAAAATACAAAAATTAGCTGGGTGTGGTGGCACATTCCTGTAATGCCAGCTACTTGCAAGGCTGAGGCAGGAGAATCGTCTGAATTCAGGAGGCGGAGGTTGCAGTGAACTGAGATCATGTCACTGCACTGTAGCCTGGGCAACAAGAGCGAAACTTTGTCTCGAAAAAACCACAAAAAACAAATTAACCAGACATGGTGGCATGCACCTACAGTCCCAGCTACTCGGAGGCTAGGGTGGGAAGATCACTTGAGCCCAGGAGGAAGAGGTTGCAGTGTGCCATGATTGTGCCACTGTACTCCCTCCTGGGCAACAAAGTGAGACCCTGTCTCAAAAAAGAAAAAAAGAAGAATAAGATTCAATCAGTTTAATGTAGAAGAGAATAAGGGGAGAGCTATATGTCATCACATGATCTCAGTTTTCAATTGAGGCAACTGGGAAATTGGAAGTATCATTACAGAAATTGGAGGCATATGGGAAGAAAAAACAAAAATTCGGGACAAATGGTCAAATTGTTATTAATATGCTTCATCTGAGATTGAGAATATCTGAAGGGTCAAGTGAAGATGTAAGATTGCAGTTTGGATACAACTACATAGATAAACAAGTCAGTTAAATACAAATGTCAAAATAGGATTTGTTCTCTGAGGAAAAAAATTTATCGAATCAAGGACTGAGCTCCAAAGCCTAAATTATCTTCAGAAATGAAAATAAAGTATGAGGAAGAATAGTAGAAAAAAAGGATTCAGGTGATTGGAAAACCAGGAGAGTGCCTTTCAAAGGCGCTTTTCTCTGATTTTATTCTATTCTAAAATAATTAAAAGACTGTCATGAAGAAGAATTAAACTTTTCTTTGGAATTTTAGAAGGCAGATTTAGAAATAATTGGGGGTAGATGTTATGGGTCTTAGACTTTGAATCAGAATAAAGAACTTTGACATTTCAAAATGGAATGAGTAACTCTTAGAGGAATTAAGCTGTCTTTCGATTGTTCAGTAGAGACTTAACTGACCATTTGGAATGTCAAGGACTCTTCCAACTCAGGGGTTCTTTGAAGTCATGGCCTATTTTTAAATGCAGTAAGAGCAGAAGCCACTGCTTTTGCTAAGCTTTGCAGAAGCTTAACAAAGAAGGGCAATAAGAAGATGGTGGGCTGGGCCTGGTGGCTCACACCTATAATCCTCACACTTTGGGAAACCAAGGCACAAGGATGGCTTGAGCCTAGGAATTTGAGACCAGCCTGGGCAACATAGTGAGATCCTATCCTTACTAAAAATGAAAATTAAAAAACAGCCCAGTGTGGTGGTGTGTTCCTGTAGTTCCACCTACTTGGGAAGATGATAAGGTGGGAGGATTTCCTCAACCCAGGAGTTCGAGGCTCCGGTAAGCTAAGATCATACCATTGCACTCCAGCCTGGGCGACAGAGCAAAACCCTGTCTACTTACAAAAACAAATTCATTTGTTGGGAAGCTCTAAATATAGAATGAGTAAGTATTACTCAATTATTTATCTTTGATTACATAAAGTTGTTTGGAATTTGTGATTTATTTTTACAGACTAGAAATATATAGTACTAAATTCCTAATCGGGCTCTGGCATACTTGCTTATAATATTAACACTGAGAATTTGAACTGAGACATGAGTCAAGTTGGAAATAAACCACACTAATTTTATGAACCCAAATGTTTTTTACTCAACTGTGAAACACATTTTTTTTTCCTTCAGAAAAGCATTAGCAAACCAGTCAGAACTAGAATTCTGCATTTTCTAAAATTACTGAATAGGCACAAAATTGTAATATATTTTTTATATCAAACTGGAAATGAAACATATATTTCATATATTTTAATTTCAGTTTTAAATTTTGTTAGTAATGCAACAGCAGTACAGAAATACATAATTAGATTAACAGTGGGAAAAAAATCAGTGTTAGTGATATGTTTAAATTTACAATTACATGCTTTATGTTTGTCATTTAAAGATAAGCTACCAAGCTTCATATACTCAAGTTGTTGCTTAGTAGATAACATTAAACTAGATTTAATTAAATGCAGAATAATATATAATTAGTAAAACAGTTGTATGTAAGAATGCCTTAAAATGATACTCTACATCTTAAAACTTATAAGTGCCTATATTTAAAAAATATACTCTTCAATCAATTACCTAAACTTCCACTTAAGACAATGGAAAAAAAGGCCGTGTGCGGTGGCTCACATCTGTAATCCCAGCCCTTTGGGAGGCTGCAGCAAGCAGATCAGGAGTTTGAGACCAGCCTGGCCAACATGGTGAAACCCTGTCTCTACCAAACAATACAAAAATTAGCCTGGTGTGGTTTTGTGTGCCTATAGTCCCAGCTACTTGGGAGGCAGAGGTGGGACAATCACTTGAACCCAGATGTGGAGGTTGCAGCACTTCAGCCTGGGCAACAGAGTGAGACCATGTCTCAAAAAAAAAAAAAAAAGCAAAAAAAAGACTAGAAAAA